CTCCGGACCGAGACACGGTGGGTTTATGCTTAAAATGGCCAGGGATGTTAAAGGAGCCCCGCGCCCCGGCAGCACCACCAACCCCTCACCTGCAGCCGCCGAACAACCCGGATTTCACCGAAGAGTTTAATGCCGACAGTCCGATTAGATAGGCGCTGCCATGAAGTCTTTGCACATTCCTAGATCCACCAAACCCTTTCCTCTGTCAGAGCAGGCTGGTGACGAACTGAAGCACCAAGAGATGTTGGTTTTTATTTTTTTCCTAGGGACTACCCAAGAGAAACAATTTTTTTTCAGAAGTAAAGAACTGCCAATCTAATCCTACAGACATTTGATCACGTTTCTTTCCCTTGTACACATGCAGGCAATCAGAAAACCAGCACTGCTTAACCCACAAACAATGCCACAGTTAATTAATTTGTCAGTAATTTAAGGAAGATAAGTATCCCTTCCTTACTAGTGCTAAAAGGAAAGCTCTCAAGCGTTTTAAATTCCTTTGAAAGCCTCCAATCTTTACGTGGGTTGTATTTATTATGCAAAACAAAATTTTGAAACTTCCGAAGAACTATAATTGAAATAAATGTCAAACTGTTGCATTGCTAAAGGTTTTGCATTTAGCATAATATAAAAACCACCAAGAGTTTAAAAAAATTGCTTTTAGAATATTGTCCCTGTCAGCTACTGACATTATTGTGAAGATGTGGGAGCAAGCAGCACCGCCTGTGTGTGCGAACAAAATATCAGCCTCAACAGAGAATTCCTGTTTGTTTTTTTGCCAATATCACTCATACTTAACTGGATTTGCATTTCAAAATCTGAGAAACTCTGAACTGTATCTGAATATCATATAGGAGTGTTTTACAGTCCATTAAAAAAAAAAAACTTGTTTAAACTGCTAGCTCTCCTCATGAGACAATTTGCCTCAAGCTCCAGAAACCTTAAATCTCAATTAAAAAGATACCACAATACAGAAACCTTCCAGAGTAAAGTATGGGATGGATCCTTTGGACTTGACACTTTTCCCAATTCATGACCCACACCTGAGATGCTGCAATGAATATATACAAGCTGTGATTCATTGCTTACTTCAATAGATTTATCCCTTCAATCATACTAAAGAATGAATTGGTATGTCAATGGCATACCAATGTATTAGCTGAACTCTACCACCTCCACAGTCAACTCTCCAATAAAGGATACAGCAAAAGAAGAAAATATGCTCAACTGTGGGATATGGCAAAACCACATATTTATCTTCTTTTCAAGGAATTGCTATGAACAAACTAATTAGAAATGTTTTAATCCTATTTCTGGACACATTAAAATTACAATAGATTTAATTTGCCTGACCTAAATCATCACTGTAAGACAATAAGAGAAAGGTTAAGCCTGGACAGATGCACAGGATGATGATTCCAGAAGACTGGACTCTGATTCTTCCCATTTCAGTAAAAGCACCATGCAAAGCATTTTCAGTAAAAATACCAGCTCCTTCTCTGCAATTATGTGGAAGACCTTTGTTTCCACATCTGAAATGACAGTGATGTAGGACTTTGGACTCCAATGTTGCAATGACATATAGCAAGTATTCACAAAAAAATTCCATTCAAGCTGATGGGACTCAAATGCCAGTTTACCTTCTCAGGTCCTATCTTGACTTAATCAAAATTGTTTCTATCCTCTTATCTCAACAGCAGCAGAGAGGAACATCGACTACACTTACACAGTATATTAGAGAACAGTCAAGATACACCCCTCGACATCATACCCAGCAGAATGTTGTAGTCCACAAAGATTAAAATGGGATTCTCAGAAAATTTCAAGTATAGAGTAGACCAACTACAAGTAAGTCAGATTAGAGTGTGCTCTATAAAGAACCAAAGATTTCTTTTTAAGTTTTCATGCAGTAGTCAAATGAACTACAGCAAAATTTGCGTGGTGCCGAGCCACCTAGTGGTTACCTTCAAAAAAATAAAGGGCTCTTCAGAAATAGAAATCAACAGGTTGGATGTATGAAGAACTCAGATAACATAAATGATACAATGGTAGGATAGAATACATCTGCACCACTTCCACTTTATACTGAACACAAAACTGGACATCCTCCAAAGACAACCAACTGTCCTGGTTTATAGATGTCCTGCCAGTGACACTTTACCAACAAGTCTTTTCATGACATAAAAATCACTAAGGTTGCCAACTGGAACAATCAAAGCTTTTGCTAAATTGGCAGTCATACCTGCAGAACAAGAGTTTTATTCTAAGGGGGGCATTAAAGATAGGCCAAGCAATAGAGAGACTGGAGAATATATTTATCACTATCATAGAAATGTGGTTTGCAGATCAGTATACATCATACGTCACCAAGTCCATGCCCTGCTTTCCCACACAACCACTTCCTGGTCATAATAAACTGTAACTTAAAGCTAGTTTAATTTCTTGTCTGGAACTCCTATAAGCTGGGACCTAAGACTTTGCACTGTACCTTTAATTACAGGATTTTATAACAAAATAAAAACCAAGAAACTGGACTCCTGGAATCTAGTGCTTTTATTGAAATTTTATAGTGACATACAAAATACAGTGTATTATCAAGATGCTTATAAAAATGAATAGAGGCACTATAGCAAGTGCATAAGAAACTTCAAAACAAATTGACAATACAGGCTCCAAGGGAATCCTGTCAAACTATTTCAAAAAGGAACTCCTTAACAGTCTTCTTAGTAGTCTGTCTTCCTATGAGCTACTGCTCATCGTCCTTCTTGTTTTAGGTTTTTTTTTAATAGTTGGAGAACTGTTATGTAAGAACAGAAATATAACTACCTACTAAGTCCCTGTTGGATTAAAGCACAACTATGTTGTAGTTTTCATCCGAGACCATAAAAAGGTAGCTCTTTGAATAGCCAACCCACTTGAGGAAAACTGTTAGGTTAAAGATAAACCAAAGTCCAATTCAGCAGTATTGCAGATGCTGTCAGAATACACTTCTTGCAGTTCTCTCCATTTCAATATTTGCTCTGCCAGCTCCTCCAACTCTATCACGAGCATCTCTGTTTTTGTCCAAGCAATGTCCTGAAACAGAAAAGAGTTAGATTTCATCTCTATACATCCTGCCAAGCTAGCTGTACATAAAATAACCTAAACAACCAAACAGTATTGAATTCTTAATGCTGAAGGAGATAGAAGGCTTAGTTCTTTTGCTACTCACCATATTCTTCATGATGTTTGGTATATGAGGGATGCTTCTAACAGTCTGCAAATGGCTTTCAAGCTTCTCAATGAAAGTCACGGCCTCAGTCAACAACCCAACTATATACCTGTAACCAAGAATGAGCCCCCTACTCAGAAGTTGTGCAAAACAATGAGGATTTCATACTTCCAAGCTCTTATTTCTTTCTCTTGTGGGTTTTCCTAGTCCTCTTTTCCAATTTTATGCAAGTTCCTAACCACCTAATTAATTTATCTGCAATTACACTTCTTTTATGACTCTCAGAAACACGTAGGGAAGGAATTACAGAAATGAATATGCACCTCCTTAGTAAATGCTGGACTACATTTTTAGATCATGAGAAGGACTATATTTTTAAAACTTGTACTATGCAGGTCTATGAATCATTCACACACTCACTCTGAGCAAGTCACAGTGGAAGGAAGACACCAAATGCTAAAGTAACAATTTCTACCTATGGAGAAGCATAATGAATCAAGCTTTTAACACATCTGTTTAAAACAACACATCACAAATTGCTGTGTAATCTTCAGAAGACAAGATCAATAACCTAAGCAATATGTATCACTATCTTTGTGTGAATTTAGCAAGGAGTAAACTACTAGCTTTTAGCTGAGGTTCTGCTTTCATTTTTTATTTCTGTTCTTCTCAATGGAAAAAGTGGATGAAAGCATGTGATCCTTACTGCCACTAATTCAAATTAATTTGGACTCATGCAAACAAAGAACAATTATTTTCTGTATGCCTACTTGTGGAAAGCAGCCTCAATAGGCAGGCTCTCTTGACATCTGGGCTTTATCAACCTCTTCCTAAGAGCCCTCTTCGCTTTCAGTATGGCTTCCAAGTGTCTATTCATATCTTGCAGAATCTCACATTTTTGGCCTAAAAAATAAAATTACAAAGTTTAAACTATTGTCCTGTTTAAAGGACAGCAAAATTTCTTCCAGAGAGAAACAGAAAGAAAAAGTCTGATCTACTGCACGGGACAGTTTACACTCAGATATCATTAATGAGAATTACTTTGTTGGAGTGTATAGAACTTAATATCAGCAGGCACCTCAAAGTCGTAATACCTACTTTCTAGAGATATAGCTTTGGTAATTGTTTTATATTATTTATAGTTTTAAGTAAACTGTCTTTGAGATGAAACCAACTTCTTAAACTATACCATAGCACTGAAGTATTACAATATACTTCACTAGCCTAACACAGTAGTAGCAAGCTAGAATGCTTTTAAGTATCCATCAAATCCTAGTGGGAAAAGTGAGAAATAATAAATAAATTAATAAATATGCTCCCAAAATACTGAAATGAAAATCCAAGTAATTTTAGGGGCATACGGATGCAGGAGAAATATACTGAGTTACTGGAAAAGCAGCAAAGTAGCACACAGGCCAAGGCAAGAAAATCACATTACTGATGATCTCCGAACACCTGATGCTCCACTGACAATCAGCACATGCACACCCATCCTCCCCTTTATTTTGGAGAATGAGTTACGTGTGGAGCTACTACTAAGGTAGCAGTGGGTACAAGTTCAAATAGTATGGAAACATTCTTCAGGGGCTAATAAAACACCTGCCACCTCTAACAAGCTCTCCAGTGGAGACAGCTGCAATGACTTCTAGAAGTGTCACGTACTCAGACGAAACATTAATCTGCTGATGAAGTCATTTAATACTCTTGGTTTTTCTAAGGCACAACTGCACTTACCTAAGTAAAAAGGGTGAGCGATATCTGCTGTCTCCTTCTCCAACTCCAGAATTTCAGTTTTCAGTTTCTTCTACAACAATAACAACATCAAATGAAAATGTATTTTTAAGATATTTATCCACATATTGTTGACTCTCTTGGGGTGGGGGAGGAAGTAGAAAGGGAGAAAGCAGGATGGAGGAAGAATGCCTGTGTGAAAGAGCAAGTATTTGCATGACAGCACACTACCACGTCTCTCTTGAGTGTTTCTACTACTAGGTGGGGCTTTTTTAGCCAATAGGAAAAGACTGTTTAAAAAAACCTAAACAATCTGATGATTTATTGGGAATTTGTGCTGGAAAAGACAGATCCTGCAATTCATTCCTGAACCACAGAAACTTATACCTCCTACAAAGCCGCTTCATCTGAAGAACCTCTCACAGCCCCAAGTCTCCTCCTTCTGACAAAGACTGGTTAGTGTTGGGTTGGTTTTTTTCAGCTGTGGGAGAAGCTCTCTCGGGTGAACCTCCTAGCTTTTCATTGATAAATTAGGACAAGAGCAGCAGATACCTTCCTGTGGCTGAAAGAGTTGCGGTTGTTTTGGCTAGACAAGAGAAGACTGAGGAAAGCATAGAAAAGGATGACATATCAGTGTCTCAGGACACACAGAGAACTAACTGTTCCTTTGCTTTTCTTGATCACTAAGGAGAAAGATAAACCCATTTCACTCATAGCATATTGAGCATTTGTCAGAGAGAGTACTTTGTATGTGTAACCTTCAAGCAAAGGAAGCTAAGTGGCCACCTTACTGGGAGCTGGAAACTGTTTGTTCCTTCTGCCAGTCAATTCAGGATGATGCTAGCTGTTTAACTCATTCTCCAAAAAACTAAATGATTAATTTCTCACACTGCTTTGCAGTAAGGCTTTGTAGCTGCTGGAGCTCACATCGCATAATTTAATAAACACAGTTTTTGTACCAGTGAGCAAGTGCTCAGAAAACATCATCATAAAATACAAGCAAATAGTCAATTCAGGCAATAGGAAATGATTGAGGTTCTCTCTTGCTAACCAACAAGATGGTCTAGTTGCCTATAAAGAAACACATGCTCATGAATGTAAGTCAACTACAAATTCTTATTTATTCTTCAGTTTCTTTAGAAAACTGCAGGTAACGCTTCTGTCAAAGATGCAACCTGCTGCATCCTCCTAGTTATACTGAAAACTTCTGGTTTGTAATTTTGTTCTTCTCTTTATGACAACTCAGTCCACTGGGGAAAAAGTGACAACTGTTAAACTGTTAAAAAAACCCCAACACGCTAAAACATGAAACAACAGCACACTGCAGTCCGATACCTCATCAGGTGACATGTATTATCTCTAAGTATTGAAGTGTTGAGTGTACACTAATAACAGTAAAGGCTGTACCTCATTGATTTCAGCTTGAATGTTTGCCATTTTTTCCATCTCTAAGAATTTCACAAAGCATGGGGCTTTTGTACAGGTTAAATCCAATGTCTCCTGTGAAAAGAAAACAATATGAAAAAATGCACTCAGCAGCAAAAATATATCAAGCAAGATCTCAAGATTGGCTTTTAATAGTCTAAAGCTACTCCTGTGATCTCTTGCACTAGGCAATGCAGTAAGTTTCAGCTGAACAACTCATAAAATACACGTTATTTGGTGGAAAAGAACATGAGTGAAAATAAAGTTTCATAAAAGGCAGTACGAGAGCACTCTCAACAACACCAGCTTGCCTGCTGCTGGAATGCACTAGAGGACATCAAAAACTCATGTCTACACTCCAGAAAAATATGCACCAAAAGGTGTGGTTATTCCTAGAAAGGAAAGCTGTAATCCACCAAAAACATCAGAGATCCAGCAAGAAAAGGAAAAACTCCTCCACCTTTCAAATTATCAAGCATTTATGCAAACAGTATATGTCCTGTTTTTTAGCTGGAACAGAGCTGGGGTTTTTTTAGTAGCTAGAACAGTGCTGTATTTTG